TTCGCGCACTTTTTTCATTTAGGAACCTGTGCGCTTTTTTCAATCAAAAAAGTATTCATCTTTCAGGGAGTATATGCCTATTAATTTTAATATTTGCAAATGAATTACACTCTAACTTATATTAATACAGATATAAACTTACCGTATCATTTAATTCATATGGATTAATCACTATTTGAATACCGTTATACAGTTTTCAATTGTTAGAAATTAAACCGCAAAACAAGTGCACACAATCCACACACCCCAACACACAAAGGAATGAAAAAAATTGGCCTGTTGTGAGCAAGATTTCAACTTAAGTAAAATTTGAATTCGTTTTTTGTCTAAATAAATTCATCTGCAATGTTAATTAGTTGGTTTAGTGCCGTTTCAAGATTTCAGGCTATAGAGCAGGCGGTCAGTACTAGTTTGTTCGTTCCTATTACTTTTGTTTCCTATTACTATTTTGTTTTGTTTCTGTTTTCCTAATTTTAAAAATACGATTAGTAATATTTGAAAATAATAATTCACTATTCATTAAAGTGCTGCTCACTTATGAGTCATGGCACTATCTATGTTTAGTCGATTTATACTCACTGTAGGCTATGTACGCTACCGCACAACTGTATTGCTCGAACAGGAAAAAGATCCACAACAACGATCCAAATTTAAACATATATAGCCTTAAGATTCCCGCAACCTACCTCTTGTCCTCCTTGCAATGTACTTGAAGTGATTCTACCAAATTTTCAAAATATTTGTGACTCAGATAGAAATATTTCTTTAGACGAATCTGGAAACTGTACCATTTTACTTTCGGCAATATATGATGATGAAGCAGCTAAGTAAGGAATTATACATCGAATACCAAAGACCCTGCTTCATAGAAAATTGATTATGAACACATTAAGTTTTAGTTTGTTTTGGTTAGTTTTGGTTGGTTTTGCGTCTCTAATTGTATTTACAATAATGAGAGAGAATTTTAAAAGCTCTTTCTCAAGTTGTACCAAATAAATCTAAGATAGTCTCCGATCTTCATACGATCTTTCACTATTTCTTCACACTGTTCTTCAATCCCTTCTTATCTACGTTTGTTGAAATTATGATACAAGCTTTATCTTGTATCTGTTTTTTGTAATCTTTTTTTTTATTGTGTTTAATTACCTTTTTCTTTTATAGTTTATAGTTTTACATAAATACTTGAACTAAATCCATTAGATCAGTCTAATGACTCTGATTCGTTTGCGACCTGTTGTTCACCTGGATATTATGGTGTAATATGCGGAAACTTGGTATCCCGGTTCTACAATTATTAACTAGTACTAGTAGTAACAGTTATGTTAGTATTTACGTAGATAAAATATCATATCCTTTAGTTTAGTTTTTGCGAGCACGGTATTTCTTTGGTTGCTATTTCTACATCCAATTATAGAAGGCTATGCTTACGTTATTTCTTTTAACGAACGTGGCGTACCGACGAAAGGTTGTATTGTCTATATACCAAGTGTAAGTTAGTAAGAGAAAATATAGTTTTGTTTAATTTGCCACAACGTCGGACTTATTTCCCCTTAGACTAATGATAAACAAACCTACATTAATATTATCGTCGCTTTGTAAAAACAACTGAACGAATTATATCTCTAAAAATATTGCTATGGTTAAACTGATCCGGCCTGCATCTGCAAATATAATAAAGCTTAGCACTCGCCCTCGCCACCGCAGGGGAATTACGTTGTAGAGTATAGAGGAATAATTCTACAGGAATTCCAGGTAAAGGAATTCCGCAAAGAAATTCAAGGAATTCCAGATGAATTCTAAAAAGTTATAAATTGCTTTTAAATGGTCAAAATAAATGTTTACACTTGAAATCTTTATATTAAATAAGAACAAAAGGCGAACGAGAGAAATAAATTGAAATAAATAACTAGGTTCTTAAATTTAATTGTATTGCTTATACTAACAACGGCCATTAGTCTAGTGTCTAATTATTGTTTTGTTACTCGGAATTCTGATGGAGTTTCGAAAACAAAATGGAGTTGGGTTCCCTCTTATTTAATGCAATCTTTCAAGTTGTTATGCAGCACGGAACTTAAGGCGTATATCGGAAGCGTATTTTCTCGTCTCGCCTACCTCGAAATGGGAAAGTAGTCACGCAAATAAGAATTTTGATATCCTGTCATTAGTGCCGAGAAAATGTGCGAGGCGGAAAATTGTTTGCATATTTCGTTCGCGAGTGTAACGTTTATCAAACATCTGTTTGTAAGAGGCGTAAGCACAAGAGAATATTTGAAAACTCGAATATCGGTTACCAGAAAACGCTGCGTCGAATTCATAAAAAAAACAACGGAAAAACAGTTAAATTCAACAAATGTGATATTTTTGCAACCACATTTTATACAACCTTTTATTTTATATCTTCAGTTAGGTATTGTCAATCACCTCTTGCTATCATTAAAAAGAAAGCAACTTGATTTTTCTATACATTTTCATTGAGATTCTGTCAAAACTCCTAAATTTCTAAAATGTTAATCATTTCTTTTCTCCGTCTCGGCTATTATATTTTCGTTTTAACATTCAAAATGAAGTGATAAACATAATGTTAAAAAAGAAAAACAGGGAATTCATATAATCGTAGGGCGGAAAATGCTGATATGGCGGACATAGGAACTAAGTTTATAGTTATTGTTTATCTGGGAGTCCACAAAAATAAAATATATTGTTCCCAGTTTTTAGTTTTTTTCACAAAATACGAAAATAACTCAAGAGTTAAAAGTTATACTCCAATTAAGTTAAAAAAAATTAGCTATTTAGCCAAACTGGAGCAAATATTAAACATGTTCTAAAAAGATGGGTTCTTTTAAAAATTTTGGACACTAAGTATTTCCGGAAATACTTTTATATATTTTTTTCAATGATAAATCTTTAGCATTGAAATTTTGTATATTTTTTCCCATGCTTACAATTTCAGTATAGTTTTAATTTTAATTTGACTAGTTTTTATTATTTCGCTCTGTCGAGTACTGTCGGAAAAATATTTATGAATTTTTGGTTTTAAAGAATTTTTGTGTATAGTTGACGCAGTTTTATTTATTTGTCATATTTATGTTTTTTATTTTATTAATATTGATTAGCTTGCCTTTTGCTACTTATTTTACTTATTTAACATCATTGCTTGGTACTTCGCAGATATTTTAATAATTGCTTTGTGGTGTGTTTTTTTTTCTAAATTAATAATAATTGTTTAGACAAACTACGATTTAACAAATGGCGGATATTTATTATTATGATTTGATTTTGTTTTATTTTAAATAATATTGTTGATCTTATTTTGTTTAGATTGTTCAAATCCCTATTGTTATTGAGAACAATTTAAAAAAAAACCTTTTATTTTGTAATAAACGGCGAGTTATCCTACAATGTTTACCGATTTGCAGCGAAACTTTCTCATTATGTGAACAATTTCGAGAATTGTTAACCAGTCCCATACGAATGGACATTTCGCTGGTAATTGTAAACACATAATAATTTTGACGATAAACATGTAGCGAATTAAAACAATTGCCTCTCGGAAATTAATTTTCTGGCTTGTTTGTGCACAGCGAGTGAGAACTTTTTGCCCGCTTTTTTGCAATATGTAAAAACTGCGAAATGTGGGGGAAAATTAATTAATTTAAGTGAGGGAAAATTCAAGCTTCGGTGAATTCTAACAGTTACGGTTATCGTCTGCGAGTTTTCTGCGGGTTAGGACAATGTTCAATATGTTCCCGCGTAAAACGCTTTCTGGATCCCATGTTAAAAAATAAAACAGATCACGCCTCTTTTATTTACTAAAGAAAGCAGTTACCAATTCGAAGATTAAGTATTCGCTACTGTAAAAAAAATTACTAGTAGTTAAATCGCATTACTCTATTGAGGATTTGTTGTAAAAATATACCCAGAAATCTTTGTTTTGGCCTAAGAATATTTTATTTCTCTTTCGATTTTGAAATTTATTATATTTAATGTAGCTTCCGAAGTTATCAGTCAGAATTATTACTTATGTGTGCAATATTTTTATTTGGATCGAAAATTATTGACTAGTTATAGAATTTTTTGATCAACCATAGAATTATGGTTGATCAAAATTTTTATTAAGAATTTACATGAAAAACATTAAATTAAATTAAATATCATTACTTTTTTAGTTTTGTCATATTTACCATTTTTTAAAAAGGCGACTATGTGTAAGGTTGCCTATATGAAAAAGTAGTAGTCGGATGATTGACTCCCATATTAGTGACAGGTAAAGATCTGAGTCGCGGTTAGAATTGTTGGGTTGCTTGTGTTTACAGGAAACCTACGCACAAAGACCGATACCTTAATGCTTTAGCACATCACCATCGGGCCCAAAAATAGGTTATCTGTGCTGTACCCAGAATTAATTAAAACACCTTACCTCTGGTCTAAAAACAAAGTTTCCGAATACAACCATGCAACCGGAAATAAAATTTTATTCTATTAAAATAAAATTCTGGCATGTAATCAATTCTTCTGCCAACGAAAAATCGGAGAACCTACAGAAACCAGGTGTTTACCTGTCACCAATATGGGAATCAGTCATCTGAGACGATGTTTACACCCCTCATTTAGCTCCACTCCCCTCAAACAATAATAAGCAGGTACAGAAGCTCTGAAGAAGCCAACAGGATGATTGGCGAAACGTTAGCAAGTTCGACTCAACAATAAACGACGCTGGAAGAATCCAGATGTTTTGTAAATAGTATTACGGCAGCCTGCGAAAATTTCTTTGAAAAAAAAACCTCTGAATTTTGTTTTTATTTTTTTGAGACTAGGTAATAATAAACGGACCACGATATACACTATAAACAGTTGTATACGAAATTTTACTGTACAATTTGTTAATTTCCTTTCGTAAATTTGCGTCTATCATTTGAAACGCGTCTGTATGCGAAAAGATTAAATTAAAAATAGAAGAAAGCTTTATTTGATTAGCATTAAATTATTAACACGAAACTCACCTTCAAGACCAACAAAGGCGTCTTTGTCGACGGTATCAATAATGTTTCCGTCTAGCTCCAAGGAGTTCAGAAGCGTGAGATGCGAGAAAACTTTGCCAGGGACCGTTCGAAGTTTGTTGTGAGCTAACCCCAAAGAATCTAAATTCCTTAATCCTAAAATAAAATTTCAATATTATACCAATTTACCAATTTAGTGTTTTTATATTAAAAGGCTCAATCTCTATGACTTGAAGCTTTATTTCGACCTGGTTTTATAAATAAGCAGGAAAAATCGCGGAGTTGGGAGAGACTCATCGAAAATTTACGGGTTCGAATGTTCAAGTGGTTGAAGTTTTCGGTGATTGTAGCCAGGCACTCCGATCAAGTTTAAAATTTAAAACCCTTGAATATTTAATGCATACAACAACCCGTACTTTTCCAGATCTTAAAAATGTTGTTCTAATTGGAATGTACTGTATTGTGGTACTGTGCTTCTAAATTTTATTATTAGTCTTTAATTATTATTATCAATAATAAAGGAGATAATTTAGAAATTAATATACAAAGTGCCCGGATGTGAGCCCGACTGATATGTTAACATGCAGCCTTAAACTACATAATTTGCGAGAGAGAGGCTGTTAAAATTCCATTTTTATCTTCGATTTTTTTCAACTACTCCTCAATAAAATGACTAAGAGATCTGATATTACGTTCCGGGAGCTTTTTGCCGTTTCAAAAAAATAGATTCTCCCATGTTCAAGGAAACGGAAGTTAATTGAAAAAAATTTCAATGTGAATACCCGAAATTTTGAACAATCGGGCTAAAGTTTTCATGCTTACGAATGTGATTTAATAAGTAAGTTTGCCAACTTGACTTGATTTTTTGTTTTATTTCGATTAGAATTCAGGAATTAGTACAAAAATTTAGAACAAAAATCAAATAATCCGAAAACTGTTGAATTTTTGAAAATTTTCAAATAAGTAATCAAATTATTAGTTGCCTGCAAGGCTGAGAAGTTGTTTCTTGACCAGAAGTTATGACGTCTTCAAAATAAACGCAATTTGCTTATCAGTTTTCAAACAATTTTTTTGATTTTTAATTATGGTCATTTATTTTCGAAAGTTGTCTGTTGAATAGGCCGTCACCTTGTATGTAAATAAATACTTACTTCAATTTGGAGCGGCGTAGTTATAAGATGAACACATATTAATTACATAAAGTTACAATTTAGAACAAACTACCTCAAAGATCAAATAATCTGAAAAAAATCAGTTGCCTTCAAAAATTTAATTAATATGGGTAAGAAGTTGTTTCTTAACCATAAATTATGACGTCTTCAAAATAAACTCAATTTGCTTATAAATTTTGATTTTGATTTATTTTCATTTATTTTCGAAATTTTTTGGGTTACTAGGCGGACGCATTGTATGTAAAGAAATACTTAATTCAATTTGGAGCAGCGTAGTTATAAGATTGACACATATTAATTACATAAAGTTACAAGGATACAGTAAACAGAGAGAATAACCTGTTAATTTATAGACTTTCACCAATATTGGGTAATCGCATTTTTACTTGTCAATCATTCGTCCTATATTTTATCTTGATAACAAAACTGACATTAGTTTTCGACGTTTCTTGGGCAAGAACTTTATTACGTACAATTCGTTGATGTTCTGTTTTATTTTTGTTTGGTTGGTTTACATATGCTGCGAAATAAAGAACATTCTTTGCAATATTGTTTCGCAACTAATATTAGCCACTCTTTTCGAAAAATATTTATTTTCATTGTGTAGTTGCAAAAGCGAAGAAAAACTGCAGTAACGAAGTAAGCGTAAAATAATAGCCGATCCCATTTAACACCCACCTTCAAAGTCTCCCTCCTTAATTTCCGATATCCTATTTTCTTGCATTTCGAGCTTCTTCAGAGTATCAAGTATTCCGAGGGATTTCTGCGGAACAGATGTTAATCCGTTTCCTCCAAGGTTGAGCCGTTTCAGTTTCCTTAAACAGAATAAATTAGGATAATTTTATTTTTCCATTATTTTAATTAAACGTCTTCAGGCAGTTATGAATTGCACGAGATTCGGCAAAATAAGGGACGCAGTTGCTATGCAAGCGTGTGAAATTTATATTGTTTACAACAAATATAATTTATTACATAAATGCCGCGTGTCCGGAATAAAATTGTCATCGGCAAAATTCAAATATTTGGAATATATTTAATAACTGCAAATTAAAACGTTTGTATTTTTTTTGGCGCGGACAGCTTGAAACGTGGACAAATATTACTGTTTCAAACGCGATCGGCGTAAAAATAAATAACGATGCGATGTCCCACATAATCCTATTACAACTTTTACATTACTGACGTTCACTTCATACAAAATACATTTAATGGGCAAATTACAATATTACCAAATTACAATGACAATTTTTCTATTAATAATTTCTCGTCTTTTGGGGGTCGATATTGATGAATTCAGCAGAAGATATACAAAGTGTTATAATTGTTTTCATTGATTTTGCTGTTTGTATTTTTCTGCAATTTTGTGTGCATGTTGCGAATATTTTTCTGCTTGATTATTATCAGCCACCGTCTCTACTTATGTTCATCTCTATAAAAAAAGGCTTTATTATTGCTCATACGGATTTTTTTCATTGCAACAACTGTGCCATACTTATCGTCCTCAATAGTGGAAATAATAATTGTCTAATTCGTGGGCCCAATTAGACGCTTTTAAATAAAAATTCCTCTTTCTAAATTAGAGAGACAAAAAGAAATGTAGGTGTCTGGATCTCGATTGTCGCAAAAAGGATATTATTGTCGTTATAGGATGTCGAAAATGTGCATTTTAACACACATTTTTGTTATGGAAAACTTTGTTTCTATGAAAACTTTTTATGGAGACTTCAATTCCTTAAATATAATGTCACGAAATTGTGATTTTGGTCATTAGGTTTAACTTCTAAAAGAAATTTTAAAGAATGTTTTAATTTATTTAATGTTAGTTGTTGCTAGTCTTGCTGGTGTCTTTAACTTTCATATTAGTAGAATTACTTTTAGTTACTCTTAAAATAATTGTAACTTATAGGGCGTTTTTTCTTCTCAGACTGACCACTAATAATTAAGTTGAGTCGCAATCTTCCGAAAATGCCTTTTTTTCTTTCAGGACATTGATCGTAACAACCAAATTCCGTAAAACCGTCGCTCCGAATATCTACTTGTTTAAAGCGGTAAGAACTCCTTTTTAAATAAGATCAGAGCAAAATATCAGTCACGCTTTTCAATTTCTCGGTTGAGAACTAATAAACTATTAGTTTAGAAAATATTATATTAATAATTAATTAATTAAATTAATAATATATTTCATTCAGCATAAAAATTTTCTTTGGAATTGTCTTCTAACACATAATTTTCTATAAAAAAAAGCGATGCAAAGTTTTCAAAAACACCCTATAACTCTGAACGGTTTCGACTACGTCTTTTAGTGAGGGTCCACCCAGTATGTGGGGCTCAGTGCTTTTTATATATCCAATATTGTCTATAACACATGAGTACGTATTAAATGGAGAGAACTAAACTGATATGAAAGGTCACCAAATGGCTAGCTTCATCTTACGACAAAGTGTTGACTTTATTATTTCGTTTAAGTTGGAAAGTCAGCTATATAATATGAAAATAAACCAGATTTAATATGAACTTTTCACTTCAATTTATTTTTTTTTAGGATCTACTGATCAGATAAAAAAAGCCGATTGAAAGTCAATTTAATATGCTTTAATACGAGTTCAAATTGAATAAAATTTATTTCTGCTTTTTAGATTTAGCATAGGAAAATAAATGCACGAATCAAATTAACTTTTTTTTATTACTACTTTTCCTCTGCTGCAACAATAAACTCTGGGATTTAGGTTGGAGTACGAAATGTAGCTCGAATTTTCCGTTTTAGCTCGTCCCATAAATGTTTGATCGGATTGAGGTCGGGGCTGCATGTTGACGACTCCGTAACTCGAAAACTGACTTCTGTAATGTAATCTTCCTCGATCTTTGCGGTATACGGCCTAGCATTGTCAGGCATAAAATGATTTCGTCTCCAATGTAGTTGACAAATAGTAGCACGTAATCTGATAAAATATCTAGCACCTAGCACCTGTTAAGGATGAAAACAGGGTCAGTTCGACCGTCTATAGAAATTGCACCCCATATCATACAGTTCGGTAAACTTTTTTTCGTGTAAAACGTCATATTATGATCTCAGAACAGAACAGACCCTGTTTATCCAATGTAAAATTCAGACAATCCCGTGCAAAGCGTAAGCTTGCTTATCGATGAGCTGGTCAGGTTATTTTCCTTCAGTTTTCTTCTTTCTGTCCACTGACTAATAGCCACTCTTCGAACTTCATGGAGCTGTTGTCGCACCTGAACGGGATTAGGGTGACGATTTCTTATTATTGTTGACACAATAAAGCGGTCATCTCTAGTAGTTGTAATTCGCTTTCTGCCTGTTTCAGAGCGTCTAGTAAAGGATCCAGTCTCCTCATACTGTTGCCATACTCGTCGAACTGCTGCGCGTATCATATCCAGTTATCCTGCAACAGCTCGCTGGCGATTCGATTTTCGATTAAAGCGATGACTTGAGCGGCTTTTTGCGGTGTAGTATGCATCAAGCTAACATAATTAAATTCTATCCAAATCCAAATTTAAGCCTATAACTAGTTTGTTATTATCACTGTAACTACTGCATAAACACGTATCATCAGATCAGATCACATTAAATTGTCTTCCAAATAGCATGTTTTTTTTTTGGGTAAGATGAATTGTTTTAGGAGAAAAATATATACTAAAGTCAAAAACATGTTTGCAGTTAATAATTTCCAACCTTGAAAGGAAAATTTTGATCATAGTAGCCTTTCGCAGCAATATGACTATATCTATTATCAAAGAATTTTATGGCGGTTTGTCTGAACATCAAAAAGCAAATGGAAATCTCGTGTACCCACAAACGATGCCTAAGAGATATTTATTCCCTGTTGGAAACGGCAAGAGACTTGAAATCGATCGTCTTTCAAATGAACGAGCAGCGTATATTCTTTTTGGAAGGAAGAGAAGTATATTCCATAGAATCAAAAAAAAAAAATGGCTACGTCATCCTGCGAAGCCGCACTTGCGTAAAGTTGATTCTAATCAGAAACTTTAAGTTAAATAAGAAATTAAAACTTCTAGTCCGGCATAACTTCCAAATTAACGCTGGTAATTAATCATATTTGTAATGTTTTTGGTATGGTCTGTTCATAGATAAAAGAAAGTGACCAATTGCTTTTGAACGGATTATCCAAGGGTGGTCATTAACGTACAGTGCAACAAGATTATTACCTTAATTAATAATTAATTGTTAAAAATTATTTTAATTAATGATTACCTTAATTAATAATAATAATCTTGTTGCATTGTATGTTAATGACCACCCTTGGAAAATCCGTTCAAAAGTGATTGGTCCCTTTCTTATATCTATGAACAGATCATACTATAAACTGATTTTGAAAATTTTTTATACCATTTGTTACTTGTTGAATAAATCACTTTTAGGAAAATACAAGTTTGTTTAGAGATTGAGACAAATAACCAATTATCTCTCATTTGAGAAAATGTTAAAGAATAGGTAAAAAAAATATTAATATTAAATTTAATTAAATATATTAAATCTACATATATTCGTTGTGTGATTTTTTTCGTTTCTCTTTTGCTTTTTTTTTATTTCGTTATTTCTTTTTACCTGTAATAACGCCGACGAAATGGTGCTTTCGCGATTGCGTTAAATTTTCCCCTTTTTGGTGGATACGTCAGGAAGAAGGACAGAAACTGGCGCTTAATAAAATTAACAAGTTACGTGCTCGCAACCCACATTTCTACCTCAAATATTTTTTCTTTGTTTTATCGCGTTCCAATAATTCTTTTTATATCTGAACGTGGAGTTTTGTTATCGATTTGATAGAACGTTGTGGGTCAATTTATTGTGTCTTTATTACAAACCGTAAAGCTTTTGGGAAAATTTAGGGACTAACATGTAGGTTTCGAAAAATAATAAGTTCCTATTATTATATATATTTTAACCTGAATATGAACATCTTAAATGGTAGATTTTTTTATATATTTTAGCTTAGCATTAAAAAAAGAGATTTTTTGAAAATTACGTTAATTCTATTTTCAGTTTTAGTTTATTAATTGGAAGAGTTTCTATTGTTAACAAAATTATCGGAACTAGATTTATTTATTCAATTAAAACTCTTTACGTGATACTTCAAATGTGAATCCAGGAATATTCCAACCAATTTGAAGGAATTATTGTTTAATTTATTTAGTTTTATGTGTGGAAATATTACATTTTCGATATTAGGGCTTTACTACTGTACTTAAACTACATAATTTCGGTTTATTGTATGCCTTAAAATTGTAAATTCGAAGTTAAACCGACAGGGAGTAAAATGCATGCCGTGCAAACCATCAAAAACTAACTTTCCTTTGGCAACTGTCCAAATGGCCCTTAAATATTTGTTACGACCGCGATATCTTCATCCCCCTCATTTAGTTTTATTTAAAACCATAAAATATTGTAGTGTAGTGTCTTTGCGATCTTGTCTGCCGAAATTTAACAATAATCTCCTCACGGTGGAAAATCTCGAGGAGGGTAAACGGATTTATTTAGTTCTATATCCTCTTCTGCTAATGTTAAAGAAAACATTCCGGAATAATATTAAAAATATTGCTATAAAATTATTCACAACTTAGCGTTTAGTGTTTTGATATTAATTTAAGTTTAAAATAAATGCTAAGCTATTAAATTTCGGTTAATGTATCAATTTTTTACAATTTCTTAAAATTGTATTAATTTTTAAAAAATGCAAATTTTAATATTGAGATTTGTAACTTATACTGCTCTATTACCTTTTCGCTAATTACAAATTTCAAATAAGAAATATTTTTTAGAGGCCACGTCAATAACTAAAAACGATGTGTGTCCCGCATAACGCAAAAAAAATTAGATGGATGCAATTTTTTTATTAATTTACGTAATTTTTACCTAGATAGTGTTGAATTTTGCTTTTTGGACATACATTTCGGTACATTGAAAAAGCTAAATTAACTGGATAACATTATTATTATAATTTAAACAAACAAATAAAAAAAAAAAACTTTCGTCTAAGGCCTAGAAATATTTTAAGCTGATTATCTGGTTCATATACTTTATAATAATTTTTATAGACATGTATGTAGGTAGGTAGGTAGAATTACAAAAACGAATTACCATATCTGAAGCTATTTACACAACTTAAGTTCAGTTAAAATCCTAGGATTTCTATGTGTGTATTAATTTGTATAATAATAAATTATTAATTATATTTTTAATAATAAATGATTTCTGTGGGTCAAGTCGTAAGCTAAATGCCTGCAGTGATATTTGAAATAGGATTTGGTAAATTTGTTAACATTGCAGTGTCATGATAAAAGACTAGTTTTGTCTCAACTAGTTTGAGATTGTAAAATCCAGTTTCGTCTTTGAAGGTATTTTTGTTTGAATCTTAAATTGTTTTCGCATCTTCTGGGTTTCAAGCCAAAAAATTAGAATCATGAAAATTGAAAAGATGTAGTGCTATGAACATTGATGAAAATTATGAAAACGCCCACCCTCAGCTTCATTGCAGGTACGTAACTTAAGACTTGCGGCTTAAAGCCGTTTTTTACAATTTTCTTGTTTGGCGAATCTCAAACCTGTATCCTTTCATCTTGAATATGTTGTAAGTATTATATTGAATGTCTTCAGATCTCCCTGTGAGATAATCCACATTATAAGTAGAAACCATTTGAGCCATAACTTTATCAGTACGGAGCGGAACTTTTATCTAAATAGTGCGCGAATTAATTAGATGGCGATAGTTTCAAGTTAACTTCTACTTTCGATTTCCAAGTAGTTGAGGCAATGTTCTCGTTAGATATTAATTTGAAATTTAAGCGTCGACGCCGACGAAACCAACAACTTCATTTCGTTGAACCCCTCCTACATAAGTTTTTGCACGATAGATTAGTGTTACTTAGTTAGCTCATTTGTTCGGTGATCATCAAGTTGATTTTACTAGTTACCGAGATGATCAATTAAACATATCAAACTGCTGACTTAAGAGAAGAAGTATTTCGCTAGTAATTATCTTATGGACTTTTTTGATATATCTGATGATCTATGGCGGCACTCTTCTAAGCAGACACACGTAGAAAGTCTTTTACTCTATGAAAAGGTAACTTGTTGAGATCCTCAAGTTTGAGGATTTGGCCCCTACTTTTGAGGACCTGATTCTTCCCACTGCCGGAGTACATTCCTTGGAGAATTTTTAGATTTGATAAGTTCGAATGAGCCAGCCTTCGTAATTACAGCCAGTATGTCCGGCATATTCTTTAAGGATTGATTGAAGTGTTAAAGCTAACATCTATGTGCATATTCGATAGGAAGTGGTTGAATTTTTCGTTACCTTCCAGCCCATTAGCTCTATATTTCTCAACCTATCCTCAGAATCAGGCGTATTTTGAAGGTCTTATTACAATTAAATTACAATATTTATTCACATCGAAGAATATTATTACGCAGCACTAAATTTTTTGTCATATGGAATACTTACTTTTCTAGACCCACGAAAGCATCAGGATCGATGATAGTAATTTTGTTCTCGTATAACGTGAGGATCTCGAGGGTATCAAGACCCTGAAACGCTCTGGCGTGTAGGCTGTTGATCTTGTTGTGATTCATGTTCAATATTAGGAGGTGGTGCAGGTTTTTGTAAGCGGCTGACGGTACTTGGGTTAAACTGTTTTGAGAGACGTCCAACTGTGTCAGCATCTTTCCTGAAACAAATAACGAAACTTGTTTGATCTTGTTTTCGAAATTTCGTGTAACAAATCGTGCCCGAGTTAGCAAGCAAAAAACTTCATTTGTCATTGCTTAAAATATTTTGAAATAGCGAATTTTACCCTTGTTAATAAAATATAAGCTTTACTTAAACTATAGTTCTATACTATACTATATATTCGATTAAAAAATCAACTCTGTAGCTTTAAATTTCAATAATTAGATTAATTTAAGTAATAGTTTGGTCAAATATACTAAAATAACTAAAATACCTTGTTAATAATATGTAACATTTTTTATATCACGACTTTTTGGTACGATTTAGACAATATTCTCATAATAATTCATTTTATACTGTATAATTTATTAAAAAATAAACTCTGCAGATTTATATTTTTATAGTTTACAATAACTAATGTGTAATCAGTAAAGTAATAGTTTTGTCAAATATAATAAACTGACCAAAACACGTTGTTAATAATATGTGACCTTTTTTATATTACGATTTTTTGGTACTACATAAACAATATTCTTATAATAATTCATTTTATATTGTATAATTAATTAAAAAAAAACTCTGTAGTTTCATATTTTTGTATTTTACAACAAATAATCGGTAAATCGGTAAAGTAATAGTATTGTCAAATATTGTCAAAAACTAACCAAAACTAACCAAACCACTTGGTTAATAATACCTTTTTTATATCCCGATTTTTTGGCACGACTTAAACAGTATTCTTATAATAATTCATTTCACATTGTATAATTCATTAAAAAATAAACTCTGAAGCTTTAAATGTTTGTATTTTAAAATAACTAATCGATAAATCAGCAAAGTAATGGTTTTGTCAAATATGCTTCCATTTTCCTAAGACATAGCTTATCGATACTAATTTAATTAGGTATTTGCCACAGTTGGTTAAATCCTGAGTCGGCCTAAAATGTTAATTTTGTTTTTAGGTCAGCGAAATGTAGGAGGAAGGTTTATCAGAAAACTGTGTTTTATGACCAATTAGAGCAAAACCGTTGATTTGGGGAAATTTAAGCTTCCGAAAAATTTATAGCGGTTGTTGAGTCGTTAACTATTGACAAAAGATGAGATGTAAGCGCTCATGAGTAATGTTGAATTAGGTTTGATTGATTTTAATATTAATTTATATCTGTAGTAAACTTCTGAATTTGGAGCTACGGGCTGTTAGAAGTTTTAAGAAATTTTGGCACAATTTTCGTATTTCTTTCAGATTTAAAATGTTTTTTTTTTTAATTTACCAGTGACATCCGAAAGTGGTAGCGCTATTTCTAAAAATTCAAATTATTTTCAAAATCGTCATTTTTTCATCAAAATTTTTTCATGAAATTTTTTAGCAACAAAAATTCATTTACTACTTTCACCAGTGACATCCACGTAGGAATGTTTTGAACATTGGAATGGAACGTTTTATACAGGGTGTTTCAACAGAAGTTCGAAAAACTGATGAGTGTGATTCTTTGTTTAAAGTAGAGATTAATTCGTTATATAAACGTTGAGTCAAAGCTAACCATTAAGAAAATATGCGCTAAAAATATGGCGGAAGAATAATGTTGTTTCTTATCTGAAAACAATAAAATAATACGGAATTATTATTATTATAAAATACATTTTGTGCATGTGCTTTTATTTTTCTTTTTTTAAATGAGCGGAGGGGATGGAATTAGATTACCCTAACTGACTAACCAAAACGAACCAAAACAAATGAACATAAATTGGATAGACAAGTTTATTAAAAACTTTTTTCTTTTGCATGAAACTAACAATTTCCAAATTAAAACAAAAGAAAAGCTTTGCATGTCAAAAAAATATATTTTGGAAAAAATAATTTAGTTGGGTGACTTCAAGCAGTGGTATCTGGTACCAACATTTACACATTATCTTCTAAACAATTTTAAAAATAATTTATTAATAAACATATCTTCTTTAAAAACGCTTTTTTAAAAATGTAACTCAATTAAAAACAGAACAAATAGGCAAGAAACTTAAGGCAAAACTAAAATACAAGTTGAGTGGTGAAAAATTTCGTGTAATTCGTCATTATTTTATTAAAACTGAATTTTTTATTGTTTTAGTCATATTTTCTATTTTGGATAATGAGAAATGCCTAAAGAAGTGACAGCAGCCTACTAGATTTTTCTATCAAATTATCTCGTTATGCTTAGAAAATATATTGGAAGAACTCCACACCATAATAAGGTCAATGAAAAAAATTGAAAATTGTAAATACAAATTCTTTAATATATCTTAAAAATGCTTCTCGACAAACTACCCTAACGGTCTCGGAAAAGCTTTGTTAAGAAACGTGTAGCCGGCAGAGGGCTAAAGAGACCAGAGCAAAACGTTCCGTCAGTGTAAATTGACCTCAGAAACATCTAAGATATGGCGCCTTGGATGAATTTTTTATGGGGTCATGTTAAAAGCGGGGCATGTCAAATCAACCCGGAAATAGTTTCGAAGCAGAAACACTACATTTCAGGAATAGCATGTAACATCAGACACACGCGGAAACATTGTCATGCATGACATTTTTACCGAAAGTTTCGATCTGTCACAAGGTTCTTGAATTCCTCTTAGTATAATAAATAATTTATCGCTCCGATATAAACCGCTTATTCAGTTTCCCAATTTACATACTCGATTTTTTACGGAGACGCCTTTAACAATTTCATTTTGGAATCGAGCTACGATGCAAAGCAAATATTTTACCAAACTTTACTTGTTGAATCAAATTCGATGATAACTGTTGCTACGTTGCGCAACTCTTAATAAGCGATTTACAAATTACGTGCAACTTAAACGGAAACAGCACCGGAGAATTTCGTTAATTAAATTCGTCGGTCCTACCGGAAGGGGATTTTCGGGATAGCTCCGGCTGGTTTGATTCTTAATGGATGGCTTTTCTTATTGTTTGACTTTAGCGGAACGGCTGTTTGTTTAGTCGGATTTTATTAACACTGAACGGGATCAAAAATAAAAGCCCATTAATATCGATTTTGGATATTTTATTTGTCGAGCACACACAGTAGTAACGCTCTCTCATAACCTGCAATACAAACATTATTGTTTTCTAGATCCTTATTATCAACTCTCCAGTAAAAAAACAAGTGCATTTCCAAATTGTACAATTTACCAAATTATTTTGCCCTTGTTTGTTCGTAAAGAATTAACTGATTTTTACTATTCATAATGTGCTTGGGAAAATTCCAAATGCTCCAAGCTACTGAAAATATATATGCACATTATACTAAAAAAACTCACGTTGTTTACCAAACAACTTCCCCAAAAACACGAATTTCCTAAAAAGAGGGTTTCGCATAAAGATATCTTCAGCCAAATACTTCAATCATTTTGGCTCGATATTTTTCTTTTATTTCAATGATATAGAAAATAGTAATAAAAAAAATGTATATTTACGAACGATTTATTACATATAAAATATAAACGTTATTGTTTATTACTAAAAATTTTAGAGTATACAAACTTCTGTATAAACCAAGATATGTTGAAAAATGGAAAATACTCGACAAGGGGTAGTCGCGGACTACATAAAGTATCATTATTATAAAAACACAATGGTTTCGTTTTGTTGACTAACCGTACAAAGCTTTTTTAATTGGAACCAAAACTAGAAGCACTTGGCACGTTCGTGGGCAGTTAAAACAATTAGAATCCCAAAATAAACTTCTTGAAAATTTGTTGCTGATGATTTTTTTAATTGAAAGTTGAACTTTAACCTCCATTTTAAATGTCCTGAATCGATATGTTGCTTGATGCTTTTGCGGTCATTCCCACCAACCTGCCCCTAATGTTGGATTGACTGAATTTTCGAGAATTTTTATTTCTTCGCCTTTGTGTTTTCATTGTAGATAAGGGCTCCCAATTACACCCGGCATTAGAAAGACAATTTTCACGTGTTCTTCATAGACACTCAATTTAATTCTGAGCCTATCGAAAGCAAAACTACTTCCAATGACGGATGATGAAAAGGTATAAAAAAAGGCAAAAAAAACTAGCCGAATTGTTGAAGTACAAGTCATGGATTCTCCACCAAAATAATGTGTTGGCTAATTCTGGGTCGGCTGTCAAGAGATTTCTAGCAGAGTACACTATCTCATTGTTAAGCACCCACTACGATACGATACGACTTAATATCGTTTTACAACATCTCAACAGAGAAAACTCTGATTTTATCACCTCGTGTATTAATAGGAAATTGAAAAGAAATAATGTCCGATATATAGAAAATAAAGGAGGTTGTGTGAAAAATTTTCAGCATTAATTATTAATATTCTTATTATTTGAATAATATAATTTTATTATTTGCCGTTTTTCTTCCTCTGCATAACCCATTTGAAATATCTTTACATACGCTGCAGATCTTTAGTTTTGATTAGTTGTCAAAAGTAGAACATTGTTGAAACAATTGCAAACATAGATAATATGGTTGCTATCAAGGCAGACTTGACCATTTTTAAATATGTTGCTGTCATTTTGAGATCATCACTTGTTTTTCCGACATTTACATAAGATAATAGAGCAAAAATCTTTTGTATTTACACTTTTTTTCTATCTTTTAAAATTAACCCTATAGATGGGTGTCAAAATATAATGAATAATGAAGTACATTGATATAAACCTCGTTATATAGTAGTCATACCTCTTATAGGGTGAAAATTGTGCAAAGATCTGGATGTAAAAAACCCAATAAATAAAACGGAAGCAAGGCTCGATTCCGGTTAAAATAAAAAAGAAAATGAGACTCTACATTAGCTAATGAGTTTTTTATTATCTAAATCAGATAGGCGCGTGACCACCCTGCGTGATAGGCAATCGTTAGACACACTTTTTAATTATCTGCCCCTTTGAATTATTTAAATATGACGAATGGCATGCCGTATCAAGTGTTTGTTCCGCTGTAAATGTAAATGTTATTCCTCGACGCATGTTTCGTGATATCAACGTCACCGATACCGTTATTATTTCGTTTCATCCCACTTCTTTCCACCCACCAAATTAATTAGTAAACAAATCAAATTCTTAAAGAGATTTTACGAAAGTTTGAAATAATTATAAATAACGCTCAGTACTTCCGTTCCAGTGTTGAATTTATTGCTTTAAGCAATTAATCAAAAGTCGTTTTTGAGAGCGAAAACTTTTTCCAATTTAACGCTCGGATACACTTTGTGCGGTAAAAACTCTTTTTAATTATATAAATCGGAAGGGCGTATAACGCTCACAAATATTTAAATAAAGCCTGACGTAGTCCGATGCAACAACAAAGGTTTTGATGAATTATGCAGCTGGGCGCGCCCAGGAAATTGAAATTTGGATTGCGATGCGTCTGTTGTTACCAATGATTGGCCATTTTCGCTTATACTCTACTAGTAAATGCACGAAAAGAAAAATTCGATCACATTGTAATCAATCTTTCTTTGTCCTGTGCTCTCACTCCAAATGGAAGCTTGATTTTAGAAATGAAAGTGCCACTTTGAACCAAATTATACTGAAATAACAATCGCGTTACAGAAAAGTGAGACAAATTTTACAATTGAATGACGTCTCTTTTCGTCGTCATTCTATTACTTTCTACTTATCCATTATTAATAAAATTAATATACCAAGAAATGTAAATATTAGAAATATTCGAACCTTTTAAAAGAATACGCATAAGCATTTACGTAACTATTACCATTTAACCAATATTTTTCGTTTCCTAAAAGAGGGAAAAGTTTTAAATTTTCTTTTAAAATTTCTGTGACTTGTGAATATTAAAATACATATTAATATTGTATTCATAAATAATAAATTGTCCTTTGCGGTTGCTACTTGGAAATATTTTATTTATAAGATAAAATTTGTATATTTGACTTATATAATAAACCCAATGAGTTATTATTTATTTATCAAACCAGATCACAACATTTAATGTGCGATCGGTGTAAAAATGTAAATGCTTTTATACTTCGGAATATCTATCTAAACTACTGTAGTCATTTCTAAAGTTCTTATTTAATTAATACCCTCATGAAATTATTAATCCTGCATAATCCTCTGCATTACTTTAACCACTGTAATTAAATTGATGGAGTTAGTTCACTGCTTTGAACTAACCGTACTGGGTAGACAGAAGTTTCATTTTATGTGTCTCGCCCGCTTTTGATTAAGGCGTGTTTTCCTTTGACATTTGATAAGTTCAGTTCGGACTTTTTCGAAAAAAACACTTAAAATGCTCTGGGAAGTATCTACAAAATCGTATATTCACAAATGCGCTTAAAACAATAAGAGCTTGTAGAAGTATCAGCTTGAAGAATAAATATGCATTATTAGTTATAGCCAAATACGGCTATTCCGATGTGATTTTTTGGATTTTCCATCTATCACGAAGTTCATTTTTATCTATTAAATAGTTTCTTTGGCTGATTCTTCGTCGGATGCCCACCAATGCACTCCGAGTGACTATAGTGTAAACAATTTTGCCGTTACAGCAAAAAGAGCACCGTCCAACTTTTAATTGATTTGGTTAAATTGTCGACAACGGGGCCCGCGCACACGCTACCGACGCGAATTTAATTAAAATCAGCTGACCCAAACACACAATCTCTAATTTGGCAATTAGAGCAATAATTTTCCCGCACCATTGTACACGCCTAGGGACCTAGGAAAAAAGAGAATTCTATCTCGTTTTTATAGGAGATTCTCGCCCGGCAGGCATCCAATTGTTTTTTCTTTTTTTTTAACAGCAACATAATTTAATTTAAAGGACGTAATATCTTTTGGTACATGTATCCATGTTACATGTACATTTTTTTCCGCGGCGATGATACTCAAAGCAAAAGGCAGTTTCAAAATATTTCATTTTCGTATTCCAGGTGAGGGAAATTTGAATATACTGTGCTCAATTTACCTGAAACAAAAGATGTCGTTTTCAAAACAACACTAGCTGGTAAGCTATTATCTTGATTCAGGTTTAAAGGCCGTCGTCGGTTGGAATTACTTCCTAACGTTTCGCTAGCACGAGTGGCGAGCTTCTTCAGAGGTCCTTCGATCTCCAACCGACAACGGCCTTTAAACCCGAATCAAGATAATAACTTATCAACGGGCCGCGAAAGCCTTAACCAATTTAACACTAGCTGTCCTTGTTTTTAATTTGTTTTTTATAAACGCGGTATCATAATGAGATGACCAGAATGAAAATTTTATAGATCTTGTTAAGTAAAATCCAGTGACGTACTCAAATTTTTGCAAAATATATCATTTTAAAGATACGACAAAAATATTGTTTACTAAATGGCACACCATGTATATTTTTTAAATTTGATTTTACTTTTCACGAACTTTTCAAAAATTTATAATTGCCTAAATACACTTATAAATAGCCATATATTTTAACAAAACATGCAGTTAACAAATTATTATTATTTTATTATAAAAAATATTAATAAAATACAGGAACTAGTATACTAAACTGATTTCCACCAGCTGCCAGATATTACTGAGATTATTTATGAATTCTTCTTTGGGCAATTACGACGAAAATTAGTCTAGAATGTAGAATCCAGAAATCAGTGGCGTACTCAGATTTTTTTTTAAGTATAAGTTTCGAGATACAATAAAATTCCACAATATATTTAAAAAAAAAAAATAAGCCGCAACGAATACGAAAAATGTCTGGAAGCTGAGTTTGAGTAATTTTTTTAGTGTTTACTATTTTTTGCATTCTGTTGTTTTAAATTTTCTGATAATAAAAATATGAAAATGCATTTGTATTATAAAAATATAATTTATCGTATATAATGCATAACCAAATTTCATTTCAATTTACAAAACATAACTTTGGCTGGTATCTAAAAATTTTTTTCTTTTGCATAACAAAAAGATCTATTAGATTACCATTTCTGGATTTTAGGATTTTTTTAAAAACGACGTATTTCATACTTTTGCAAAACTTCTGGATTCCTCCTGCATCAGAACTTGCTAAATTTTCGCCAATCAACCTGTTGGCTTCTTCACAGCTTAATAGAAACTGGCTCGCATTTTACTCGGTACCTCCTTATATATTGTTTGAGGGGGGCGGAGCTAAATGTGGGACATAAACACCGTCTCGGATCACTGATTCCCATATTGGAAACAGGTAGAGATCTGAGTCGCGGTTAAGATTGTTAGGTTGTTTATATCTATATCTAATCTATATATTCATGCAAGAATTTAGTTTTATCGAATAAAATGTTATATCCGGTTTCGTGATTGTGTTCGGCAACAGCTGATGAGTTTATTTGTCGTAGTCATAAGGCTCATTCGTGTTCTTTGAGCCTAGGTGATATTTTTCGTCCGGTTTCTCTAATGTATTCTTTGCCGCATATGAATAGAATGCTGTAAACTGCTGGCATCTCAAATGGATTTTATCTTTGACGGACGAAGATGTTGAGAGATTTTTGGACAAGTGGTAAATCTGGTTTTGACGTTATAATTCTTTAGAACTTTTGGTATTTGGTCAGTGATATTTTGAATGTAAGGAAGGACCACAGTGGCAAGTGTAGGATTGATTTCGGCCTCATTGCTATTGGAAGGTTGTGGCGAAGTGTATTTTTTGATCGAAAGCTTAATATCTTTAATGTGGTAAAATGCTAGCCAGTTTCAGTCAAGTTATGAAGAAGCCAACAGGATGATAGACGAAACGTCAACAACTTCGATTCAGCAAAAACCGACCAAAAAGTATTACACTAGCCTGTGGAAAAAAACATCTTTCGTTTGAGACATCCCGCAATAACAATGAAAACTTGGGTTGGAAGATTGGGGTTAAAATCTTACTGCTGTCTGGACGTCAAACCTAGGTGTTGTCTCGAAAACCTGGTACTTTTTACTGTTTAAATGAAGATGGAAGTTAAACACTCCTATTTTGCCTTCAGCAAATTATAGAAATTAAACCATGTACAAGGGTTGCTTACCGATAGAACTAAGCGAAGCCTCCTCGACCACCGATAAGCTACTGTTGTGAATGGTAAGGTGATGGATGTCCAGGCCCAGGAACACGAACCCGGGTAGTTTCCTAAGGTTGTTGTGTCGCAACTTGAGATAGAATATAACGTACGATTTTCCTTTGAGTACACTCATGGCCTCGCTTATATGCTGTTGATCGGTGAACTCGCACAAGATGTCCAGACCGTTTTTCTTCACTTGGCAGCTGCACGGTGATATTTCTGCACGCGGAGGGCATTGCTGTTGCACCTGCAACGAAAATATCATGTAAAATCGGAATTGCATGGAAATATTTACTTTTAGAGTCGGTCGAGGTGGTAAATTTTGTTTTGCCGTAGATTTTGATTCCGCAAAGGGACATAACGACGTAACCAATCTATCAAGCTAGAAGTTTTTGAGTATTTCTTAAGTCAGTGTGAAACAAGTTTTGATTTATAGGAAGGCTAAAATGAATTAGAAAGCTATAGCATCGATCAAGTACTTTTCGCGAAATTGTTAAGAAATATTACAATTAATGGAGAGATGACAAAAAACTATTAGTAAATTACAAAATGTTGTTACAAACTGGTGGCAAAAAATAATAGAGCTTGAATTGCGGGCGGCTGGTTTTTGCAATCTTAGAATTCTACATGAATGGGGTTTTCAAAACTTTATTTTTGGTCATATACATGATTATACGAGCGTGACAATAAGAACAAGGTTTTTTTAATTACTACGTTTTTGATATTGCTGCTCTAGTTACAATGACTTACGTACTCCTTAAATTTTGAGGTCGCAACTTTAATTCGTGAATTTTAGCTAATAAAATTTCGCTGGTGAAACAAGATTTATTTTTTGCTAAATGTCGTCAATTTTTCCTTATCTCTCTCTCGTTTCTTGTTCCATTACTATTCAATAGATTTGTTCTACTATTTCAGGTATTATTCATTCCAGCTTCTCTCTCTGTCTCCAGCTTCCCTTCGCCCTTCTCTTCGTCTTCTTCCTGCTGAAGGATACGTCCTTATCTGTTTTGGAAGTCACCCATTGGTCAATACTCTGAACGTAGCCGTGCCATTTTAGTTGTTTCGTTATCCAATATACTGTGTTAAAATTCCATACGGATTTTTTCCAGCTTTGACCTGCCCACCCCATGCGTCCAAAAATCCATTTCCGTCACTTTCAAGATTTCCTTAGCTCTTTCTTTGAGTGACCAACAATGTTGTTTAACAATAGGTGTTTGTTGCGTTTTTTAGCGTCGCCGTAGACTTTCTTCGTTGTAGATTTATGTCTTTAAGGTCATCATTGGGGTCTCTATCATTGGAGATATTTACGCCTAGGTACTAGGTACTAGGTACTAGGTACTAGGTACTAGGTACTTGTAATTTTGGAAGTTCCTTATTCATTCCAAAATCAAGTTTTGCTGGGTTCCTTCGAAACTCCTATATTCCGTTTTTACAAATTTTCACTTCGAGTCCCCACTTCTCGTATTCTTCGATGTGTTTACGACTCATATCATGGTATCATGACTTGATCGTCTGCGAGTGATTAAGTGGTATACCCATATTATGAACATTTCTGCTTCCATTTCAGAGATATCTTTTACAGAGTGTTGGTGAAAGACAACAGACCTCTTTCGGTTGTTTTTTGGAGCGATTCTGGTCTAGATGTTATTTGCGGTTTTGATTTAAATTTTTCAATTTTTTACCCCATCTATAATTTGGACGTTAGAGTTTGCCACAGCTTTACCAGTGGCACTCTCTTAGGCTTTTCTTTGAACGACAAACACTGGGATGTACTTTCGTACCAACCGTCGACATCATATCCAGCAACTGCGTCAGATGGTCGATTGTTTATTTTCCCGCTCGGAATCCAGCTTGTTAAACGGCTTCGTGATGGGCATATTCATGTTCCATTCCGTTCTTCAAAGCTTTGCCGTATATCGTGCTGATCGAGTCCATCTCTGCAGTACCCCTATAATTGTCGCAGTTTTCGTTACCACCTTTTATAGACTAAACTTTACTTCACTGTTTTGCTGTAATATTCTCTGGTTCTGGTGCTTTTATGTTTCAGATATTTATATATTACTATTAGTATATAGTATAGTACAGTATATAATTAGGGCGGTCTTCAGTTAGGAGATCATTGAAATATTTATCCCCCTTATGAATTGGTATTGGTATTATTATATTCCTTCCTTTGTTTTGGCGCATCGATTTTAATAGCCTGCAACTTTCAGTGCTTTTTGTTCCTACTGAGTGCTATCGATCTCTTTTTTATTTGATAGGGCATCAAAGCCTTTAAATGAAAGTAAGTATTTGATAATTCCGCATTTTTCAAAATCTTCCATTTTTGTAAAAATGTCAATATTGATTTCGTCACAAGGCTGAATAATTAATGTAATAACCTGAAAATTTATATGTAACTAGTTAAGGATAGTACTACAGAAAAAAAATTATATGGAAGTGTCCACTTCATGTCAGTGAAATATATATATATATATATATATATATATATATATATATATATATATATATATATATATATATATATATATATATATATATATATATAGGGTTTTTTACAGCTTTCGCTGTCTCCCTTCTCTCAACCTACGCCTCCATCCATCTCTGTCTTGCCATTTATCTCCGATACCTCTTTTTTCCATAGATCATCTACTTCATCCCTCCAAGATCTTCTGGGTCTACCCCTTTTCCTTCTACCTATGGGGCTCCATTCTGTTATCTTGTGTATCCATCTATTTCTGTCCGTTCTTCTTACATGCCCATACCATACCAATCTCTTTTCTTCAATCAATGTTAAGGTATCTTTCTTGACACCCATTCGTTGCCTGATTTCCTCGTTTCTTACTTTGTCTATTCTATTTGTCTATTCGCGAAATTTTACAACTTCTCCTCCAGTATTCCATTTCAGTGGCCTGTATTTTACTTTTGTATTTTTTGTTGATCACCCAGTTTTTCGCGCCGTATGTCATTACGCTCTGTACTATGGTGTTAAATATATGTGATTTGGTGTGTCGAGTGATGTGTCTATCCCAGAGTATTGGATTTAGTAAAGTAAAGACAGTCGCCTCTGATTGGAATTCCCATTTGTTCACATTTTTTCTTCCATGGTTTTAAGATCTCCTCTAGAAATATTTTAAACAATGTTGGTGATGTGGAGCATCCTTGTAGCAGCCCTTTTGTTGTTTTAAAGCTTTTTGAGAGTCTATCCTCGATTTTTATAGATATTTGGTTTCCTTCAAACATTTTTTTAACGGTCTCTATTAATTTTTGTGGCAATCCGATGATCGTCATTGCCTTCCATAGTATCCCCCTGGGTATGGTGTCGTATGCTTTTTTTAGGTCTATAAAGGCTAAGTGAACCGGTCTATTTTTAGCCATTTTCTTCTCTATCACTTGTTGTAATGTATATATGTGGTCCCTACAAGATCGACCCGCCTTAAAACCTGTTTGTTCTTCTCCAATTTTACCTTTTATTTCTATTTCTAGTTTTGCCTTTACGAGTTTTTCATATAGTCTTCCCACAGATGATATTACGCTAATTCCTCTGTAATTTTCGCAATTTTTACGGTCGGCTTTTTTGAATATCGATGTCATATATGCAGTTGTCCACTCTTTTGGTAGTTGTTCTCCATTTATTGCTCTTAGAAACATTTGGTATATCATTCGGTATAGTTTTTCTGATCCGTATTTTATTAGTTCAGGAACAATGCCTCCTGGGCCGGCAGCTTTATTATTCTTCATATTTTTAATGGCCATTTTTACTTCTTCTAAGCTAAGATCTATATCCTTTTGGTCGTGTGATGTTGTCTCCGAGTTTTCTCCAATAAAAGTAGGTCTATCCTCTGTTAGCAGTTTTTTGTAGTATATTTCCCACGTAGTATCTGGTATGTATTCTAGATGGACTTTTTCTTTCCTATTGGTTCTAAGAGATTTAATTAGACGCCAGGATTCTGAATTACGCGTTCCTCCTATATATTGTTCCACATTTTTGCAAGCCTCTTCCCATTTGTTGTTCTTTTCTTTCTGTACTATTCTTTTGACTTCTCGATTTTTCTCTCGGTATATCTCTCTATCTTCATCTGTTTTTGTATTTAACCACTTCATATAAAGTTCCTTCTTTTCTTTTATGATTTCCCTTAGGTCTTTATTAATGTCTATTTTATGTTGGTTTTGTGATTCTTCCTTCTCTCCGAGAGCTTCAGTAGCTGCTTCTTTGATGCATGTTTTTATGTGCTCGTATGTTGTCCCTAGGAGGTCGAGGCTGAATTCTTCCAGTTGTTGGTCTATTCTTCGCTGATATAAGTACCGTATTGACTCATAGGATAAAAGCTGTATATTGAACTTTTGTTCTTTTTGTTTATGTTCAAATGCTATTTCTTTTTTTGGTTCACGTTTGTTCCATGACCAGGGGAACTCCATTTTCGCGATTAATAACCTGTGGTCTGTGCCGCATTCTGCACCTCGTTTCACTCGGACATCTTTTATTTTAATTGATCTGAGATCTCTGGTCTCTTGTACCCAAGTGAATTTATGAATTTCCTTGTGTCGGTAGAAGCCATTTGTAATCTTGAGATTATTAAATTCGCATAGTTCGATTAGAGCCTCTCCTTTGGTATTAACCGTATCTTCTCCGAATCTACCTATTATGGCATCGTTTTCTTTTCTTCCTGTTCTTCCGTTGAAGTCTCCTGCTATTATGAGTTCTTGATTTTGTTTAATTTTATCAATTTCTTCTTGTATCGTTTGTGTGAAGCTTGTCTTTTCGATTAGTGCACTATCTTCCGTTGGTCCATATACTCCGATTACTATTATGTGTCTTCCAAAAACTACGATATCTATTTTAATAACTCTATCATTTATTGGTTCTAAGCTTTTTATACATTTTATCCATTTCTTTTTTATTAAGATACCGATTCCGGCTTTTGCTCTTTCCTGTTTTTTAACTCCGCTCCAGCAATAAAAGACATCATCTATAATTTCTGTTCCATTCAGTGAAATATAAAAATGAAATTCGGAAAACAGTGATTATTCTAATGTATATATAAGGGATCACGTAGTTACTAAACTGGTGGCGAAACTTTAAGCTAAATTGATTTCGGTTAAATGTAATTTAAACTTTGGACCTATTAATGGAAAACCATAGCGTTCGTTGTAATTATAGTGTCTAAATTGCTAGCCGAGAGAGTAATTATTTTCTTTTTCCCCGAGTTGCAGTTATTCATAGTAAATGCAATATGCACAGTAAAT